TGTGTTTGCTCTTACTTGCTCTTCTGAGTCATACCTTCAAATGGATCATTCTCCAGATTTGGCAAATTGAGGCTTTCAGAAAGGTCTATGACTTTCCAAAGGCACAGCAGCTGGTACATGGTCAACAGTAGATGATGATACTGTAATGATTACCTCAAAGTCCTGCTTGCAGACGTTGGGAGGCCAGGCTCCTGACACTGCTCTTTACTGCCCTTCTCTCCCTCTGCAGGTGGTCCGAAGCAGCCTGGAGGAGCAAGGACTCCACGTGCACAGTGTGCGACTGCACGGCTCAGCCGCTAGCCACGTGCTGCACCCTGAAAGTGGCCTGGGCTACAAGGACCTGGACCTGGTGTTCAGGGTGGACCTGCATAGTGAGGCATCCTTCCAGCTGACCAAGGCAGTGGTGCTGGCCTGCCTGTTGGACTTCCTGCCAGCCGGCGTGAGCCGGGCTAAGATTACACCACTCACACTCAAGGAAGCGTACGTGCAGAAGCTGGTGAAGGTGTGCACAGACACAGACCGTTGGAGCCTCATCTCGCTGTCCAACAAGAGTGGCAAGAATGTAGAGCTCAAGTTCGTGGACTCTGTGAGGCGACAGTTCGAGTTCAGCGTCGACTCCTTCCAGATAATCCTAGACTCCCTCCTGCTCTTTGGCCAGTGCTCATCCACCCCCATGTCTGAGGCCTTCCATCCAACTGTGACAGGTGAAAGTCTGTATGGGGACTTTGCAGAGGCCCTGGAGCACCTGCGGCACCGCGTCATCGCCACACGCAGCCCTGAGGAGATCCGTGGCGGTGGCCTCCTCAAGTACTGTCACCTCCTGGTGCGGGGTTTCCGGCCACAGCCCAGCACTGATGTGCGTGCCCTACAACGGTACATGTGCTCCCGCTTCTTCATCGACTTTCCCGACCTGGTGGAGCAGCAGCGCACGCTGGAACGCTACCTGGAAGCTCACTTCGGCGGGGCCGATGCAGCCCGCCGCTATGCCTGCTTGGTGACACTGCACCGGGTGGTCAATGAGAGCACCGTGTGCCTCATGAACCATGAGCGCCGCCAGACACTGGACCTCATTGCCACACTGGCACTCCAGGCCCTGGCTGAGCAGGGCCCAGCTGCCGCTGCTGCTCTGGCCTGGCGCCCTCCAGGCCATGATGGAATTATGCCAGCCACCGTCAACTACTATGTGACCCCTGTGCAGCCCCTACTGGCTCGGGCCCACTCCTATCCCACCTGGCTGCCTTGTAACTGACTATGACCCTGAACAGAAGGGACTGGGCCTCATGGGCTGGGGTGGGGTCACCAGGAATATGTGAGGAAATGGCGAGAGACAAGCAGGCTGTGCCAGCCAGCCCAGCACTCCTGCAGGGTTGGGTCTTCGGTGGAACATGGCAGACTTCACTGAAGGAGGCCTCTGTGGGCTTCAGGCCAAGCAGATTCTTGGCAGGAGGACCCTTTGGTTACTGCACCGCATTTTTGGATCAGCATGATTGTGGGGCTACTTGTTTTGAGGGTCCATTGCCTTTAGGAGACAAAGCAAGTTTAGGAGGTAGCCTCTATGTTCAGCACCCTGGGTTTATTTCCATGGCCTAGAAAGAATCTTTTTGACTAGGGTCAGCCAGCCCAGAGACTGGTATGTGATGAGGGTGTCTCACTTTGGGTCAGGCTGAACCACTGAGTCTGGTGGCCCAGCCTGGCTAATCACTTGGGGGAGGGAAACTGAGGCATAAGGCAAATACCTGGGTTTGGGGAGGGAGGGTTTGACCCAATCTCCTGAAACCCATACCCCAAGCTGTGAAGCCTTCCTCTTGAGGGGCGGGGAGTATGCAGTGGGCCCGAGGTGTACAGCTAGGAGATGTAGTCCGACCCTCCCAGTGTGTCCTTCTTTCCCTTGTATGGTGAGAAGCCCTGCTTGCCTGGGAGCTTGTCCTTTGGAAGGTGCTGGGCCAAAAGTTTCACTGGCAATTTGAGTTGTCCCACCCCACTGGCTTGGCTAGAGGACTCTGACACGCGGGGGAGCCCTACCCTCACCTCCTTTTCCACTCCTCTGGGTTCGTTGCTATTTTGCACTGTTACCACCTACCAATAAAAATTGTCTACACTGAGCCTTGGGAGAAGGATCCTCCCAGTCTGAGTCTGGCTTCTATCTTGGGAGAGGAGGTTGGGTCTGAGGTCTGGACAAGGCTGCAGGGTGGCCCCGCCTTCCCTCTGCACCAGCCCCAGCCTAACAGCTTGTGTCTTCCAGTGTCCTGCACCTGCAGCTTGTTGAGTCTAGGATTCTCTCATTAAAGATGAAATGTTTCAATTGCCCAGGTTTCCTACCTAGGGTCCTAGGAGGCCCAGACCTTGCCTCATACTGCAATACCCAGGGCTGCTTAATTCCACCTCTGCCCAGAGCAGGTGGGGAACTCACTGGGTGAATCTGGAGTGAAGGACCCTCCAGTAATGGCAGCTGAGACTGGGGGGACTTCTTGTGTCCCCTAGAGTCCAGATAGGGTCCCCCATCTAGGAGAGTCTCCTTCAATCCTCCTCCTTCCTTTCCACCTACAAGTGCTCTGAATAACAGGTCCCCTGGGAGGGACAGGGTCTTTCCTTTCTGAACCCAGCTGGGGCCAAGCCAGGTTGTCTGGGGGAGCTGTTCCCTCAGGGCATCAGCCACTCACCCCTGGACGCTGCCCACTGTTTACCTGGTCTCTTTGATCCAGGGATTGCAAAGCCCTTAATATATTTAGCCTCATTAGGGGCCTCTGAAGTGGTGACTTTGATGGTTCCAGCCAGGGTGGGGAAAACAAGGCCCCAAAGGAGACCTCAGGTCATCAAGGTGAGTCCAGCCACCTCACCTATTCTGTGGGTTCCTGCTGGGTGCCCCAGCTCCTTCTGCTGGGCTCTAAGGGGCTGGGAGGGCACTCACAAGGCTGTTCTGGCTTGATGACAGCAAACAGTCTCCCAGCCAAGCCCACCCAGCTTGGGTCCTGGGAGGGACAAACTTCGTCCCACCTCCCAATTTGACCATTTGAACCTGGGCATGAGAGGGACTCAGTGTAAGCAGCAGGTTCAGGTTGTGGGAATGGAGCTCACCTGGAGGTGCTTGTTTTAGGAGGTGAGAAAATCAGAAACCCACGCAGCACACACGTGTACACACTGCATCTAGCCTGTGGGTACAGGTTACTGCTCCGGTGTTGGGACTACATCAGACAAGACAGATACCCCTGGCTTTGTGAAAATACATTCTAATGAGGTAGACAAAATAAATCCTGTGGTCTTAGAAAGTCAGGGATGCATAAAGATATATATAGCTAAGCAAGGGATTGGAAGAGCTAGGGTTTGCAAATTTTAAGACATCAAGGTGCACCTCATTTAAAAAAACGACATGGGTTGAAGCAAAGACATAGGCAGTGGGAAGCAAGCCACAGGACTGCCTGAGGAAGAGTGTTCCAGGCCGAGGGGACTTGTGGATGCACATGTTTGCACGTTTGAAGGAGGGTGCATGTGCTTAAGGGTATCTGGCTGCCCCTGGGCAGTGAGTGTGCTCACTGGTGCCCATGTGCCTGCTTGCACCAGCATGAGGGAGCTGGGGCGTGTGAGACAGGAGTCCTCAGGAACAGCTGCTATCTGGCCTGCGCTTTACTCCAGGCCAGGCACGAGGCCAGGCACTCGACTCCGGTCTTTCCAATCATTCTCATTCATCTTGCAACTCCACAAGAGAAGAACAAGTGTTTCCACTTTACACATGAGAAAACTGAGGTCAAGGAGGTCTGTCTGACTCCTCTCCCTACACTGTGATTTCATGTGGATGATCATGATGGTGTCTCCTGTACATGTATGTGGCAGGGCATGCTTGACATTATTGTGACATTTGTCATTTTCCTATGATTGACTGGCATAGTAGTCTGCCAAGATGTACATTTTCTTGCCATGGCTTGTGGTGACTGTCCTGGACCCACAGTGGCAACAGCATGCCTGTGGGTGTGTTCGGGAGTGGTGCAGTTTCCGGGTTTGAGAAAAACACTGACTCAGTGGCTGACATTATTTCTCTGTGGACAATTCCTGCAGCGACCTGATATGTCGGGACAGGTGGGAATCAAGAACTAGGATCAGAGCCAGTGAGGAGCTGAGGGAGGAAGCTCCTGTCCTCCTTCTTCCATCTTCTCTGGAGCAATAACAACCCACCTAGGCTTTCCAGAGGGAAGAAACAGTGCTATGGCTGGCCCCTCCAGATCCACTCTCCATCATCCTCAGGCCTGTCCCTGGGGAGGCTGCCATCTACCCAGGGCATCAATGGCTCCCTTGTTCCCTGGCTTCCTGACGCTTGACAAGAGAGGCCCTGAGGAGACAGGAAGGAGGAAAGGTTTATTCTCCCTGGTCCAGGTTGTCATGGTTGGCCAGTTGCTTCCCTTGCCCCTTCAGGCCCAGGAGACTAAAGTCTTTCCACCTTGGAGCCCCCAGACATGCACCATCCCTGGCTAATTTCTTTTCCTTCCCTGTTGGTTTGTTTCCTGTGCTGAGGATGGAACCCAGGGCCTCATCATGCTAGGTAAGGGCTCTACCATGGAGCTACAGTTAGTCAACTTGTTAGTTTCTTAATTAATAAGCCCAGCACCCACTGTTGGAAAAAGTACTTGCTAAAACTTCCCAGTTTGAGTGTGCCCTGTCTCCTCTGGGGACCCTGCTAGACAAGCAGTCACTAACAACCCCATAGGCTGTCATGATGCCATGTTATCAATAATGGGGACAACCTCCCCCCTCGTCATACAATCTCACACACACATTCCTGTCCCTCAGTTTCCACATCAGATCTTTTAACTGAGGCGACTTCTTTGGGAGGGTGAACTGTGAACCAGGTCAAGGAAGGTATCAGTCTCTGCAAACCAGTTGACAGGCACAGACTGCCAAATTAAACAGAATCTGCTCATGGAACTGTCAACTGAAAGAGCAGTGACAGACACAAAGGGAAGGCAGCAAAGACACTTGCAAAGGGGACCTCAAAACCACACACCTTGGCCTCATATTATTGAAATTTATTCTTCCTGAACGCATATGTCAGGGGACTGATTCAATATCCATTTGCTTGCAGAATTTTACAAGTTCTGAGCTGTATGTGAATAAATGTGCACTTTCCCTCTTTAGCAGGATACTTTATGAATAAATATATAGTCTTCTTGTATTTAAAATGTTGCTTAGGAGTTTTATGTTGCCACTACCTCTTCCAGAGAAAGGGGTGTGTCCCCTGGGAGGCAGCAGCTGATTGTCTTGAGGGGCCCCAGGCACACCCTCATATGGGGAGAAGAGGACAGTGGGCAGGGAAACAGGCATTTCTCAGACCAGGGTTTTCCCTCAAACATCAGATTCAAAAGCAACTGATATCTACCAGATGGGGACTCCAGCTGTTCTGTGACTTAAGAATGATGACTCTACCTTTAAAGAGAGGTCCTTTTTGTTGTCACTTTGAAAATGTTTGCTACACTCTCAAATAATCTGATTGCATCTCAGGGCCCTGTGTTACCATCTTCAATCATACAGAGCAAAGCCAAATATGGTGCATGTAGAGAAATTCATAGTGTGTGGGCAAGTTCCCCAGAACCCAGCCCTTTGCCATGGTGAAGTGGTGGCTCCAGACAGGAGGGCACTGAGGTCAGGTAGGGGCAATTCTCAAAGTCTTCCTGAAGGTGTCCAGGGAAGGAGCAGAATCTAGGAGTTCAGATCCATAGAGTAGAGGCTCTGAGGAGCTAGGAGGAGCTGGAAAGAATAATTCCAAGAGTTTTAATGACCTCTTTCCCACAGTCACCCAACCCCAGCCCAACACTTCAGCGACTACCTCTGGCACCAGCTTTCCACAAAGGCCCCTCTTAAGGAGGGGCTCAAGGAGAAAGCAGAGGTTCCCTTGGGCCTTTGTCCTTGGCTGGGATCCCCACTGGTCTGAGCAGCTAGAATGGAATGTTCCTGGGATGAAAAGCCTGCCTCTCCTCCACCTCTCCCCTTAAGGAGTTCTCCAGGGCCCAGTGGAGGGGAGGGACGTTCCAGGGATTCCTGATGTAGAGCTGCTCTGCTGTAGAGAAGCCAAGGCCCACCCTGCCCCACAGACTAGAGGCTGTTCTGGCAGCCTCTTCTGGCCTAGGCAGAGTGGTTCCATCATGCACAGACCTCCAGTATGTGCTAGGCACTTAGTGGGACTTCTCATTTAACGCCCAGAAGTTAGCTCCATCCTAGGCACCTCCAGCCCAGTACAAAAACAAACAGAAGAAACTGACTTGGAAAAGAGAAGTCATTGCCCAAAATTCCTCAACTGAAAAGTTTCAGGCCAGTACTGAATCTCAGGTCATTTTGTTTCACCTGGGCCCTTTTTGTACACCAGGGAGTGTGTTACTCTTGTCACCTGCCAGGTGAGAGCCCAGTGATACCCCTGGCAATGGAGCCATTATTAGCATGCCTAATGTTTAAGGGTTCACTTACAGGTTCTATGTCTTTGACTAAGTCTTCTGCCCTCCCTGACCCTGGTTATCCTCGTCTGTGGAAATGGGGATAACCTTTATTTTGCAGAGTGGTTGGGAGAAAAAAAAAAAAACAAATAATGGGTGTGAAGTGCTTAGCACAGTGCCTGTCATGGAGGAGGTAGTTAATTTACTATTCCAGACCCAAGGCTTCCCCTCCCCCATCACTCCTGGCCAGGGTGTGGTCAGGGAATAATGGGAGAAGAAATAGATTGGGAATTTCCCAGCTTTCCTAAATACTTCCTCTCTGGCAAGCCATAAAACTGGGAGCCTCTCCTTCAGTTCTCCAGCTCAGGGACACCTGAATTGTTCTCAAGGGATTTGGCTGTAGGGTCGGGCTCCTCCAGGTCACTGCTCATTGTAGGACTGGAGCAGTTCAGACACAACCTCTCAGTTCAGCCTAATCTCTAGACCACCTCTGTTGCTAGGTGGTGCCAGGACAGGATGTTCTGATCAATTATCATTGTAACAAAATCTATGAATAGCGCCATGGGGACACACCCCTGTAATCCAGGGACTGAGGCAGGAGGATTGCAAAATCGAGGACAGACTGGGAAATTAAGCGATACCCTGTCTCAAAAAAAAAAAAAAAAAAAAAACACCCGACCTGGGGCGGGGCTGGGCTGGGGCTGTGGCTCAGTGATAGAGGCCTTGCCTAGCATGTATGAGGCACTGGGTTCCATCCTCAGCATCACACAAATATGTAAATAGCGAAAGAATTCTGGGCTTCTACTCAGAGGGGTAACCTCTTTCCAGGAAGTCATCCCTAAAGGAAAGGTCCTTCCTGAAGAGCTGGGCCACCTCTGCGCCTCTCCCTGCCCCTACTTAAGAGGCACACAAGTTGAGTTTCCAGCTTGACCACCCAGGAAGCCATCACTGGAATTACACCCCGACCCCCGGGCCGATCCGACCGCCACCACCCGCTGGTTCTGCACACCCTTACAGCTCAAAGTCAAGGAAACCCCGGGACTACAGGAAAGGGGATGGTTTGTGGCGGCACCACCGGGGATCCAACCCGATCCAGACCACGCCTCCACGTCTCAAGAAGTAGCCCCACACTGCCCTCTGGTGGCAGCACCCACATACTGCTGAGCTCTGCCAAGAGAGGGAAGAGGCTAATCCTGGGGATGTGGAGCAGCAAGGTTCCATACTAGATCCCTGAACTGTCTCCAAGCCCCACGCTCCAGCCTGAAGAAAGGCTCCTGTTTCCCCTCAGTCCTCAATCACGAAAGCCTCAGTGTCCTCAAAGTACAGGCTCCACAAGATTCCTGTACTCAGTCCAATGGCCACTGAGAAAGTGTTCAGAAAGTCACAGGAGGAAGGGAAGGGTCTGTCTCTTGCCAAAGGGCTAGTTATTAGTGGAGGTCTAAAAAAATTGCCTTCCAACAACACAAACTTCTAGACCCCAAGGGTCCTCTGGGATGGTGAAGCCAAGGAAGTCTGCCTGGAAGAGGGCTGGAAAACAAGCTCTCAGAAGCAGAGATTCTCTGATCTGATTCTGAAAACCCTGGACTGACATCAATATTTGTTGATTGAGGAAAAAATGGAGTCAGGAAGCTCTATGGCGGGGGGTGGGGTGGTGGCAGTCAGGCATGAGTGGGAAGGTGACTTTTATTAGTTGGCTGAGGAGCAGTGGAAAAAACACTAACCAGGAGCTGGGGTTTAAGTCACTGAGCTCTTTATGCCTGGGCCTAGGTCCTTGGTAGCAAGCAGTGGGGCACCTGGAAGTGAAGGGAAGGGACAGAGATGTCTGTGACATCAGGACTAATCTCCACATACCCACCCCTTTCTCCTGTGAGTATCATCTCTAATTCTCTACGAATCCACCTACCTCCCCCTCAAATCAGGATAAAGCTGATTACCAACAAATCCCAGAGAAATGCAAAACTGATGGCACAGAGCACTTCATGCCATTAGCTAAAAGCTCCTCTGGACCAACTGCTCCTGCGACCCAGAAACCAAACAGTCCTGGTTGCAGCCCAGCACTGCTGCCTGAGCTCCCTCACTGTGTCACCTCCAGAAAGTCCTGGTCTTTGGACCCGAAATGACCAGAGTGGCTTTGGAAGGTCCTCTTTCTCCCGAGAGACTAGAAGATGCCAAGGCTCCTCACTGTTTCCCTGGTCCCCAAACTTTCTCAAGAGCTCTGAGATAGAGCTTTCCTCCAGCTAAACAGGGGTTCAAGAAGGCCTAGTTGTTAGCTGGGAAACCAGCCAAAAAGTTTGTTACCTAGGAAAAGGAAGAGCCGATTGGGGGGGGGGGCAGATGAGGGTCCCTGTCTATCACCGCAATGGAGCTAACCTTTCACCACTCACAGTCAGATTCCTGAGACTGACAGATTCATCACTTTCCTTCCCTCTAGTCTCAAGCCCTGATACAAAGAAGGACAGCTACAGTCAAAGAGGAGGACACTGACTCAAAGATGGGGCAGAGTTGTTTTTGGTCACACTATAGATGGGCCCAGAGGTCAGCTCTCTCTAGCCCCAGTATAGAATATTATGTGGATACACAGAGGACTGGGTTCCTTGTTCTGTCCCTTCCTGGCAAGTGACCTTGAGAAAATCCCTCTCCGTTCTGTAAAATGAGGACTTTAAATTAGCTCCTGGCTCCATGCAGAAGCAGTGTGTGGCTGTAGGTGTGATTTAAAAGAGTAAAATATCTTTTCATGACTTACAGTGGAAGAAGACAGTCCTTTGCCCTTAATTTCCAAATAGCCCTTCTGGGAGGTAGTAATACCTACCTGACAGACTAACAAGTGAAGGTGCAATTATCTATGAGCACGGAAGCAAGGACCAAGCCATCACAGATGAGTGGGGGCAGAGGAATGAAGGATCTGAAGGGCATCTGCACAGGAAGAAGCAGATCATATTTCTAGTCTGGCCCTTTAAAGCCCCACCTTTCTGGAAGATGATGCCATACCTGCCCCCTTGGGGCTGTTAAAGGGTGTCACACCTGGCGCCATCACTGGCAGAGCCACCTTAGAGATGAGTTGGGAGAAGGGCCGCTAGGTGAGTAAGTGCCAAATATCCCATCCTAATTATCTCAGACTTAACGAAGCTGCATGAAACATGAGAAAAGCTCTGTTTCCAAGAAGCAGAGGGTCTAAGTTTAAGTATGATGGGGACAAATCCTCAAATTCTCTGGGATTCTATCTCCCCAAATGGTAAAGGGGCTCAGAAGAGAACTCAGTCATACAGTCCTGTGCCACCCCCCACCCCATCCTAGGACCTCATTATTCTGTCCTGATATTGTTGAGGCTTGAGGCTGCTGTTTTCTCGAAGTGCCAGAAAACAGCAGCCTCAAGGGCAAGACTTCTTACAGCCCCGAGGGATCCAGAAAAGGCAAGGAAAGTAGAGGTGAGGGTTCGGTGTTGCGCCAGTGCAGCGGCAGCAGCTGGCAAAAGTTTGCCACCAAATAAATCCCTCCTGGGAGTTGAGCACCCTCCATTTGTCCAACTCTATAACAGGAACTTCGTGCTGCCCCTTACCCCCTGGTGGTCTGCAAGAGGCGGCCACGGAAAGTGGACAGCCTTATTAAGGGCTCAGCAGACGCCAGAAGCCCCAGGGACAGGAGATCCTGGGCCCTGCAGCCCCACCGCCCCTTGAAACCACCAGCCACTAACACCGCACCTCAGCCTCCTTTACTGGGCTCCTGGCCCCCAGTATGTCTCTTCCTGTCGTGGGTCAGTCTGTTCATCAGCATAGGTGACACCGTCCATCCTGCCGGCATCCTCAATCCGTTGGTTGGCACCTCGGTGATGGCCCGACCTGGGTGGCCAGGGGTCCGGGCGCCTGAGCTCAGCGTTGGGGGGAAGCGGGGCCGCGGGGCGGGCTGCGGCGGAAGGGCGAGTCGGGCTCGGGGCCATGGCCGCGCCGCAGCCGCCCGGCGCCCCAGGGCACGCAGCTCCCCAGGCCGAGAGCAGAGGCCAGCAGCGCCGGCGGGCGGCCGCGGCGGCCACGACGCGAGCCCTTCTTGAGGCGCGACCCGTGCGCCGCCAGGTAGAGCTCGGCCTGCGCCACGCCGCCGCTCAGGCGGCTCAGGCTCTCTGCGCGGTGCGCCAGGCGCAGCTCGGCGGCCAGAAAGACTCGGTGTAGCTGCAGCACGCGGCTCTCCAGCTCCGACACCAGCCGCCGGCGGCCCTCCACCTCCAACAGCCGCCGCCGCGCTTCGGCTAGCTCCAGCGCGCGGCCCCCAGCCCCCGCCGCAGCTCCGGAGCCACCGCCGGCGCCCCCCGCCGCCCCGGTGACCCCAGCGCCCCCACTAGCGCTCTGGCGCCAGCGCTGCAGCTCCTGACCCTCGGCCTGCGCAGCTGACGCCTGGGCCGCCTCCGGCAGCGGCCGGGACTGAGCTGGGGTCGGGGTCAAGGTCGGAGTTGGGGGCGGGGGCTGAAGGGACGACAGGGGCTCCCGGGGCGGCGGCGGGGGGGACCCCGGTTCTGCCGTCCCTTCCTGAGCCCCTGGGCCGCAGGCGCTGATGCGGCAGCCCGGCATCCCCCGCCCCCCGGCGGCCTGCGGGTGTGGGTCCGCGGAAAGGATGGACGCTGGGCACGCGAGGAGAGAGAGGCGGCCGCAGTGCCCACGCCCGCGCCGCACCCGCCGCCGGAGCGTCTTATAGAACAGGGGCGGAGCGATGGGCAGCCCAGCCAATCAGAGACGGGTATACCCTGAACCCGTCGCCACCAGCTCTGAGCTTTCAGGACCTTCCCCAAACCCTTTAGCTTCTCAGTTCTTACTCCAGCCCTCCGCTGTTAGGGCATCAGGTCCCCATTCACTTCTCCACAAATTTGGGGTGAAAAGCGGGCCGTATCTTCCTCCACCTCGTCCCTCAGTCAAAAACTGTGGAGGTTGGTGCTTAGAAGTCAAAGAATCCAGTGTCCACTTCGGGGAGGGGCCCCCCGCGTGACAGAGCATGGACTAGTACTCAGGAAGCTTGACTTTCACCTTCCCATACGTCCTGCTGCCCCTTGGCCAAATCAGCTCTGCCTGATTTGGGCCGCAGTCTCGTTAGGACCCCCTCGCATCTCATTGGGGGTAATGGAGGGGCGACTTGGCGTCCCTTCAGCCCAGGGAATGGACATCTGGCTGGGTTGGTCCCATGCCAGGCCGGCCATTTGCTTGCAAAACAAACACTATAATCCTGCGGCTGAGCACGCAAATCTTGGTGCCTGCCTCCTCCCAGGACTCCTGGACTCCAAGGTGGGCAAAATTATTTCCCTGCCCCTCTCCTTGCCCCTCTGTATGCTCCTCTTAGCAGGTGTCCCCACACCTTTACACGAAGGGAAGACTTAGACGGTGCCTTGGGGCCTTGCCCGGGGTCACATTGCCCGCTAGTGGCTGAATCTGGACAGAAATGCAAGAGCTTTAGCTATTTATGCCCTCTGAGGACTCAGACACCGTGGTCCCCTGCCTGTCGCAGAGGGACCCTCCATATTTGGAATTCAGTCACTCTGGAAAAATGAAAGCAGTGAGTCCTGCCCACTCTCCTGGCAGCAGAAATGGCCCTGCTGTTCCACTTACAAATACTGGCCAATTCACCATGGCCCTACCTCAGGTTCCGTCAGATGGCAGGTGTCTGTGGTGGGAGGAGGCAAGGTCTGGAGGGCCAGAAGCCCGCTCTGAAACCAGATGGGGAGGACCTAAGAGGAGTGTGGCCAGCGAGAAGAGGAGGCTGCTGACGGAGCGTCACTGACTTGAGGAGGAGGAGGAGGAGACTCATCTGTCCCTGTGTTCTCCAAGTGCTTACAGGTGCCTTCCGATGAGTGATGGGACTCGTGGGCGAGACAGCTCAGCTCCAGAGAAGCAACTCGGCAGAGCCTCCGAGGGGAGGGAGGAGCCTCAGGGGGAGCTGCGCCCACTGAAGAGGGGAAGAGGGCTCCGAGGGATCAAATGAGAGGGAGGTGCTCAGTGACTGAGAGTAGGAGAGGCTCCTGCTGGGGGTGGGGGTGGGGATGACCCAGTCACCCGGAGAATGCTCACCGAGGGCAAGAAGAACCTCTGAGGGCAGGCGAGGGACCTGCAAAGGAAGCTGAAATTTAGTGGGTGCAAAGGTGCGAAGGAGACTCGCAGTGGGGGAAGGGAGGCTTAGCGCATGAAGATCCTGGGAGCCAGAGGGGTTCGGTAAGGATGAGGGAGGCTTAGGGGTTCCCAGGTTGCTCCCAGCAAGGATGAATGCCCTCGAAATGGTGACATCCCTTTGAAGAGTTTCCTCTGTGTCATCAACCTGAGTCTTCTCAGCGCAGAACCTCCCCGCCACACACACACATCTTCATCAGGGTGGAGATTGACAGGTGTTTTGTCAGAATCAGGCAGGTCACTGCTCCTGACTCCTAAGGATGAATGAAGGGGAGTAAGACCACTTACCTCCACTTCTACTGTTGATTAGATCCAGAGAACCAGTTAGATCTGGTTCAAACCCCTCACATACTGTCCTTCCAGGTAAACTTGGACACTAATTTCTCTGAGTGGGAGGAGATTCTCAATAAATATTTACTGGGGGCTGAGGTAAAGCTCAGTGGTCAAGTGTGTGTTCAGCATGCACAAGGTCCTGGGTTCAATCCCCAGCACCACATAAATAAATAAATGAATGGATGAACTGGATGAATGTTCTCTAGATCAGCATCCTTTTCTTCCTAATGAAAACCCGGAGCCCCCCAAAGTTGCCTCTCATCTCCCTGTTATTGCCCCCAAATAATTCCTGTTCCTATCTTTTTGGCATTTCTCACAATGTATGTATTTGTTTAGTTTTATGGGGTTTTCCTCTCTTTTTTGGTACCAGGGCTTGAACCTGGGGCACTTAACCACTGAGCCACATCCCCAGCCCTTATTATTTTTGAGGAAGGATCTCACTAAGTTGCTGAGGCTGGCTTTGCACTTGAGATTCTCCTACCTAAGCCTCCCAAGCTGCTGGAATTACAGGCATGTGCCACCACACCTGGCTTATTGTTTAGTTTTTAATAATCTTCCCCTAGACTGGTTTTGTTTATCATTAGAATACTCTGGCTCTCAATAGAGGGCATTCAATATTTTTTTTAAAAATATTTATTTTTTAGTTACAGATGGATACACAATATCTTTATTTCCTTTCTTTTTTTTTTAATGTGGTTCTGAGGATCGAACCCAGTGCCTCACCATGCTAGGCGTGCACTCTACCACTGAGCCATAACCCCAGCCCTCAATAATTTTCCCCCCAGTACTAGGGATGAAATCCTGGGTCTTATGCAGGATCAGAAAGAGCACTAATACTGAGATACACTCCCAACCCAATAAAAAATGTGATTGAATTAGGAAATAATGCAAGGATGGAACTTGCTGAGAATGAAGAGTTCTCTTTCTCCATCCATTCATTTATTCATTCTTTCACTCATTCAACAACTTGTTCATTACCTCCTCTGCTGGGCTACCTGCTGAGTGGCACAGCACTGATCAGATGAGCCCTATCTTCTGTGAGTCCAGCGGGCACACAGACAGGTGACTGTAGCTGGGTGAGATTCCTACTGGATGCGGGAGGCTGAGGGAACAGCACTAAGGCCAACTGAGTGGGGAGAGAACACAGAGGGTTTCCTCTAAGAAGTGGCATTTCGACTGAGACCTGAAGGATGAGTCAAAGAGAGTGATGCAGAGATGGTGGGGGAACAGGGAGGGAGATTCAGGATGCAAACAACACGTGCAAAGGACCAGGGGTGAGAGAGGTTTGGCATCTGACAGTTTTCTTGCCACCTCTGCCTTAACTGACCTGAGCTCTACAGCCCCAGGTATGAACAGTGGACACCTCCACATCCTTCCTCCTCTTGTCTTTTTCCATCTTCTCTTCAGAGTCCACGGTCAACCACCTACCTGTCAGTGCAGTCATCCTGGAAAACACAACACTTAGAATGAGGGAATGCATTTCTAAACTATGATGAATAGTATGTTTTTTCTGATCTTTATAAAAAGTATACATTCTTTACATGGAAAATATTATAAATAAATAAATAAACAATCAAGAGAGGAAAGGGACCTGAAAGAAGACACTTGTGTTTGAATCACACCAAGGACTTTTGTCCTTTCCCAGCTGTGCAACCCGAAGAAAAGAACTTTTTTTCTGAACTTCACAGTTCTCATCTAAGAAATGGAACTGCTATTGCCTCTGGCATAGACAAAGACAGATTAAAGACTTTGCCCAAGATCTCCCAAATCAGTCATGTCTACTGACTCAAAACCTGTGCTCTGAGTCTGAGGCTCTGGAATAGAAGAGGCAGCCCAGGCCAGACTCCCAAGGCCTGTCCAATAGGTACCCAGTCCCTCCCTGAGGACAGTCAGGAGCAAGAGAGGTTTGCAGAGGGAATGACCAGTGTCAGATGGCCCCAGTCAGATCCCCTCCATTGCTGAGAGTTGGATGGGGTGGGGGTCAAGGCCTGAGGAGTCTACTTTCAGGCCAGCCTAGAAGATTCGAGGCTTCAGCTGAGATCCAACCCCTCCCTTTCAGTATCTTCCTGGCAACCTGGCCTGGCATCCTCTATGATGTGATCTCAGTTTAATAATTTAGTAGATGCTGACAAAGATAGCATGGGTCTGAAAATAACCCAGCCAGGCCCCAGCCTGCATCTCCCCTTCCCCCAGCAAATGACCCTGCTCTCTCCCTAAAGTCTCTAGTTACCCTGCACGCCTGTCAGTTCCCTTCCCTGCCGGTGGACACCTGAGTGGACACCTCCACATCCTTCCTCCTCTTATCTTTTCCCATCTTCTCTTCATTTCCTCTTTTTCTCCATTCTTCCACTTTTAAATCAATTAGGGCTTAAAGAAGCCAGTAGACTTGGGTTTAATTCCCTGTTTGGGCATAAGCAAGTCTCTTCCCCTCTCCCAGCCTCTGTTCCTGCATAAGAGGCCTCTAGATTCCTAAATGTTGTGTGTGGGTTGCTGAAGGGCGGGAGGTGGGGGTGGGGGGGTTCCGTGGACAGGAGACTGGATGTCTCCCCAGGAAGGCACAACTACAGTGGCAATATCATCTCAGCCAAGAGCACTCCAAGCCAGTCTGCTGCTCCATGCAGAAAGCTCGGGCTTTCTTTGTTTTTAATCTCTCCTGTGATGAAAATTTTGCCCTAGTTTTTATTCTGGGAATAAAAGGCTGTGACTTGTGTTCACAATGGAGGTAGCAGATGCCATGTGCTTTTGAGGCTTCATCTCATTTATGACAAGTAGAAATTATTCTCTTTACCCCTTGAAATCTTGCTCAAATTATCCTACTTTTAGGGTCTCCAGTTTCTTGTGTTTGTTTGCTTTAAGAAAAACAATTTTATTAGGAAGACAAAAATTATTGTATTCTTAATTTGAACAGGTAGGTTATATAAGAAAGGATCTGATAGCCTGCGAGACTTGGACCCCATTTTTTTTCTTTTGGTACTGGGAATTAAACTGGGGCATATTAGCACTGAGCTACACACCCAGCCTTTTCTATTTTTTATTTTGAAACAGAGTCTTGCTAAGTTGCCCAGGCTGGCCTGGAATTTCTGATCCTCCTGCCTCCAGGGTCGTTGGGATTACAGACATGAACCGACACTCCTGACTTAGATCCCATTTATATGCACCTTGGTTTTTTCCTCAGACCTCTGACTTCAGCCTGGAGTTGAGCGAAGACATGGCTTACTTTCCTTCAAATCATTCCTGGGCTGCAGACGAGATGATGGATCTTTGAATCAATAAGTAGGTTACTGGCAATAGTGCCCCTTAATGCTGGAGAATTTTCAGTGGTATATAGGAATAAGCTGCTTCTGAATCAGAAAGTCACTAATTAGCAAAGTATCCAAAACAGTAAAATCTATTCTAGCTACTATTGTTACTGGAAAGAATAAGAAAAGCTAAGCAAACGCTAGCCATAGGCATTTACAGAACCTGGTATGGAACTAGCTCCCAGTTATCCAAGTAGGTTCAATGATACTGGCTCAGAGGCTAGCCCTGGGGGTAAGATGGGAAAGATGTTTGCTCCTCATTGTTACTTGTTTGTTTATGTTGTTGTTGTTTTTTGGTTTGTTTCTAGTGCTGGGGAAATACCTACCACTGAATCTCACCAAGATTTCAGTTTTCACATCTTGAAAATAGCCAGGTGGGGGCTGGGGATATAGCTCAGTTGGTAGAGTGCTTGCCTTGCATGCATAAGGCCCTGGGTTCAATCCCCAGCAAAAGAAACAGAAGAAAAGGAAACAGCTAGATGTTTAAAGGGCTAGTAGGACTACAGGGCTGAGATGGTGTGTTTTCATGCATTCATTCAACAATCCAATTAAGCACCTGCTATAATACCAGCCACTATGAAAGATGCTAGGGGCATAGTAATAAATACAAAAAGTATAATATCTGTTCCCACATCTCAGAAATCAAAATAATTAAATCCCAAGAGATGAGCCATGAAAGAATAACCAAGTCTCTGGTAACATCTACTTAGTGCCAGGTACCAATACTGTGAGGTACTATTTATAGCCTATTTTACAGATGAGGAAACTGAAGGATAGAGTGGTGAGTGATCAAGGTCACATGGTCAAGAAGTGGTGGGACTATGCCTAGAATTCAATGTCCAGGGAATCTGTCTCTTGAGTGCTTCCCTAGAAATCACCAACAAGGAAGAAACTAGTGACAGGATAGAAAAGGGGTTCAGGAAGGGCTTCTCCTTAAAGATGACATTTAAGCTAAGACCTGAAACATAAACAGGAATCAGAAATGTGAAACTGGGGAGAGAGAGTTCCCGACGGAAAAAAACAGCAGTGCAAAGGCCCTGAGACAGAAATGTCAGTGTGTTCGGTGACTGGTGAGCCTGCAGGAAAATGAACTCAGAGATGTAACTAGGTCTGAAGGCTGGGGAGAGGATTTCAGATTTTACTCTCTATGCAGGGAGAGTCTTTGAAGGATTTATGTTGGGGATCAACATGATCTGATTTGTTTCTAAAAGATCATGCTGTTTTATGTGTAGAGAATGCAAAGAAGGGAGTGAAAAGGAGTAGGAGGGAAATGATGGGGCCCACTTAGGAGATTATTGTAATAATCCATCTGACAGAGGACAATCCCAGGAGTATTGGCTAGGAGTGGGCGGGGATGGATTTGAGTTTTATTTGGATGAACGAGAAGACTTGTGGATGGATTAGTGTCAGGGTGAGGGAATGTCCTCTGGGTTTGTGGATGAGGCAGCAGGATGGATTTTGATGCCCTTGACTGAGAAAAGGAGGAACAGATTTGATGGAGAAATCAAGGTCAAGACTTTTTCCCTTATGTGATAATTACTTTATTCCAAAAATAAGAACAAAAGGGTTTGCAGTAATAGCCTATTACATGTTTTTTTCTTTGGTGGGATGAGTGCTGAGGATGGAACCCAGGGCCTCCTTTGTGCTAAGCACACAGTATACCATTGAACTACATCCACAGTCCCATCTTCCTTTTTAAAAAAAAAAAAAACTAAGAAATACCTAGTAGGGGGTAAAGATTCAGCTTTTTTTTTTTTTTTTTTTTTTTTTTTTTAGAGAGAGAGAATTTTTTTTTTTAATATTTATTTTTTAGTTTTCGGTGGACACAACATCTTTGTTTGTATGTGGTGCTGAGGATCGAACCCTGGCCGCACGCATGCCAGGCGAGCACGCTACCACTTGAGCCACATCCCCAGCCCCAAGATTCAGCTTTAAAGTTAGAAATGATACCAGGAGCAATGGCACATGCCTGTAATCTCAGAGACTTGGGAGGCTGAGGCAGGAGGATAGCAAATTTGAGGCCATTCTCAGAAATTTACTGAGGCTCTAAGCAACTTAGAAAGACCCTATCTCAAAATAAAAAATAAAAAGGGTCGGGAATGTGGTTCAGTGCTTAGGCACCTCTGGGTTCAATCCCTGGTCCCCAAAAACAACAACAACAAGAAATTGAATATAGACTTATAAAATTGTGCTCACTATGGATCAGTCTAATATGGAAAGGCAAAACTCAACAACAAGAAAAACGATATGAAGAGGAAAATGTGTGTGTGTGTGTGTGTGTGTGTATTTCTGGTAAAGATATACACAGAGGGGATAGATAAACATTTGGAAAAAACTTTGTTTTGGACATCCAAGTTGGATAGCCATGATAAACAGGCAGGTGTTTAGATGTTTCTGGAAGTCAGCAGTAGAGAGTCTGGGCTGGAGATTTAATTCAGGGAGTCATCAAAGTCTAGTTGGCACTTTTTTTTTTTTTTTTTTTTTGCTGCTCAGGATTGAACCCAGGGGTATTTACCACTAAGCTACATCCCCAGTCCTTTATTTTTTTAATCTTTTATTCTAATTTGTTATATATGACAACAGAATGCATTATAATTCATATTACACATATAGAACACAATTTTCATATCTCCGGTGGTATAAAAAGTATATTCACACCATTCGTGTCTTTATACATGTATTCAGGGTAATGGTATCTATCTCATTCCACCATCTTTTTTACCCTCATGCCTTCTCCCTTCCCCTCCCACCCCATTGCCCTATCTAGAGTTCGTCTATTCCTCCCATGCTCCCCCTCCAAACTCCACTACGAATATAAGAGAAAACATTCAGCATTTGGTTTTTTGGGATTAGCTAACTTCATTTAGCATTATCTTCTCCAACTCCATCCATTTACCTGCAAATGCCATGATTTTATTTTCTTTTATTGCTGAGTGATATTCCATTGTGTATATATACCACATTTTCTTTATCCATTTGTCTACTGAAGGGCACCTAGGTGGGTTCCACAGTTTAGCTATTGTGAATTGTGCTGCTATAAACATGGATGTGGCTGCGTCCCTGTAGGATGCTGTTTTTAAGTTCTTTGGGTGTAGACTGAGGACAGGGATAGCTGGGTTAAATGGTGGTTCCATTCCCAGCTTTCCAAGGAATCTCTGAATTGTTTTCCATATTAGCTGCACCAATTTGCAGTCCCACCAGCAGTGTACGAGTGTGCCTATATTTTTTATTTTGAGACAGGGTCTTGCTAAATTGCTGAGGCTTGTCTCAAATTTGCGATTCTCCTGCTTGAGCCTCCAAAGTCACAGGGATTATAAGCAGGCACCACAACACCCAGCTCTAGATGGTACTTAAACCATAACAGGATGAATGACCTTGGGAGAAAAATGTAGTGATGGCCAGGAACAAGCAAAAAATCCTGAGCAGGAGGAGGTAATAAAGGAGGAACACAGAAAAGTGACTAAGAGCCCCTTTGTGTGCCCACAGGAATGACCCAGCAGAGAGAGGACTACAGATGCCTTCAGGTGGAAGATTGTTTTGCTTTGTTTTTGTTGTTATTGTTGGGGTTTTTTGTTTTGTTTTGTTTTGTTTTTGAGACAGGCTTTTGCTAAATTGCCCAGGCTGGGCTAGAACTCAAGATCCTCCTGCCTCAGGCTCCAGAGTAGCTGGGAGTAACTGGGACTACAGGCATATGTCACCATGCCTGGCATGGGAGATTCTTAGAGTGCCTGGCTCTCTAACAAATTCATTCCTGCCATGGCCTTTATTAAGCACTTACTGCGTGGCAAATACTGTTCCAAGTTCTGGGAATATGGGAGTGATCAAGAAAGACTAAGCTCCTCTCAATCCAGAAGAAGAGAGAGAGGCCATAGCGAACCCAAACAAGAATCTTGCATGCTATGAAGGAAGAAAACAGTGTACTGAGCACTGTGATACACACCGATAATCCCAGACACTCGCAAGGCTGAGGCAGAGGATCTCAAGTTCAAGGACAGCCTCAGCAATTTAGCAAGGCCCTAAGCTACTTAGTGAGATGCTTTCTCAAAATAAAAAATAAAAAGGGCTGGAGATGTGGCTCAGTGGTTAAGCGCCCCTGGGTTCAATTCCTGGTACTAAAAAGGAAAGAGAGAACAGTGAAGTGTGGTGACCAACCAAGGACACCTACACTAGACAGGGAGGTCATCAACGGTGGAGTGGGTATCTGGGGTTCTTGTGTTCCCATCATGCATTTGTCTCATTTTGTGGGGGCGAGTACCAAGGATTGAACTCAGAGGCACTCGACCACTGAGCCACATCCCCAGCCCTGTTTTGTATTTTATTTAGAGACAGGGTCTCACTTTGAACTTGCAATTCTCCTGTCTCAGCTTCCCAAACTGCTGGGATTACAGAGGTGCGCCACCACACACAGTTCCCAATTTATCTCACTTTTGATAAGAGTATCTTTGTATTTTGGGGGGAACCACTGCTCCTCTATATTCATATTTTGTGGGGTTGACCCCACCCCATCTCCAGGACCAGGCTTGGCACCCTGGCCCTGCCAATGACACTACACTAATATATTTACTGGAAATAATGAGAAAGGGAACTCTTCTTCACTTAGGTGTTGTTGGCTGAACAGATTTTAAACTCAGGCTGCAGGTACTACCTTCTAGCCACAAGGGAAGTGAGTACCTGAGGATGAGCCTACCTGACAGGAAAGCCCAGAAACAAAGAGAAACCTGATGAGTGGTCAGATCTCTAGAGCACCTAATGCCAGCTGTACCTGAAGGTAGTTCTACCCTTGGATTTTTCAGTTAGGTTAACCAATAAAATGTCTTATAATTGAACAGATCCCAATTGATGGAGAAGACCAGAAGGATGTCAAGGAACCAGGCTGGAAGCACTGGGAGGAGCCATCTGGGTGGAAGGAAGAGGAAGTGCAAAGAGTCTGCAGAAGAGGGTTTGAAGCACTTAGGGAACATGAAGTTGGCAAATGAGGCAGGAAGACATTGACCCGTGTTGGTGGAATGAGATGGGACAGAGTCGCAGGAAGAGAGTCCCATTTCCACAAATCAGCAGAAGAGGGAGGGGAAATCCCATATATAGCACTTTAAAAATTAATGGCTCTATTAGAAAATTATCTTCTTAATTTTTTTTTAAATCTTTATTTTATTATTATTTGTTTATCTTTATGTGGTGCTGAGGATCAAACCCAGTGCCTCGTGCATGCTAGGCAAGCACCCTGCCACTGAGCTATGCCCAAGCCCCAGAAAATTACCTTTTGCAAGGTATTGATGAACCAACTAAAAAGTAAAAGGAATATGGACTCCAAGTATAGCTCTGGGTAGCTTACCTAGCACCCGAAAGGCCCTGGGTAACATCCCCAGCACCACAGAAAACAAGAAAAACGCTCTGGATATTTAATGGAATATCCCATTAAACAAGAATGCTGGGCATCCCAGAGACTCAGGAGGCTGAGGCAAGAGAGGTTTGAGGTCAGCCTCAGGAACTTAGTGAGACCCTGTCTCAAAATAAAATAAAGCCAGAGCCGGGCACAATGGCGCACACTTGTAATCCCAGTGGCTCATGAGGCTGAGACAGGAGGATCCCGAGTTCAAAGCCAGCCTCAGCAAAAGTGAGGCACCAACTAACTCAGTGAGACCCTGTCTCTAAATGAAATACAAAATAGAGCTGGGGATGTGGCTCAGTGGTCGAATGCCCCTGAGTTCAATACCCGTACCCACACTCCAAAAAAAATAATAATAATAATAAAAAAGCCAAGTGTGGTGGCACAAGCCTGTAATCCCCACAGCTCAGGGAGAATTACTAGTTCAAAGCCAGCCTCAGCAACTTAGCAAGGCCTTAAGTAACTCAGTGAGACCCTATCTCTAATTAAAATACAAAAAAGGGCTGGGGATGTGGCTCAGTGATTAAGCACCCCTGGATTCACTCCCCAGTATCAAAAAAATAAAAGGGGTTGGGGATGTAGCTCAGGGGCAAAGTGCCCCTGGGTTTAATCCCCAGTACCAAACAAACAAGTGGTGGATACCTGGATATTCATTTTTAAAATATTTCTGCAATTTAAATGATGCATATACATTTATATACATATGTTTATATATTATTTCATTTATATGTATAAATAAATGTACACATACAGTCTTCTACACATATATTTCAAAATAAAAATTCTAAAACGGGGCCAGGGCACTTGCCTAGCATATGCAAGGCCTTGAATTCAATCCCCAACACTGCAAAAAAAAAAAAAAAAATCTAAGATAAAGTGTTGTAAGGACAGTAGGGCTGTGTAGACCAGGGCCCACTGCAGATACACAGTGATGCACAAATAATTAAACCCCGAGTCATTTACTGATATCTGGTTCTGGATCAAGTCACCGGCCCCTGCTCTCTTGGCTGAGGCTCCAGCTCTGGTTGGCTGCTGTCCCCTCACCTCCACTGGGACAGCTGGTGGAGATTCTGGATGCTCCCTAGGGTCTCTGACTGAAGTCTCCAGTCTCCAGGCCTAGTGGGACTGCTGGTTTGCTCCCAGTTGCTTGGTTATAGGATGCTAAGGGACATGGGCTCTACCAAGGGATGGATCCTCAGACCCAGGAGCCAGAGGGACACAAATGGTATGGCCCCGGGAGAGAAACTGCCTGGAGCTCCTAGGGACCACAATGGAAGGGTCCTTTTCCAACCTCTTAGGTGGGGTTGACAGTTCAGGCTCCCCAGTTCTGAAGAATGGATGGACACAGCCCCTGTGTTCAAGGGGCCAGGTGATGTTCAGAAGTCTGAATCCTACATGGGTGACTCCCAGGTCACCAAAGATTTCATGATCCAAGCACGGCTGACAGTGAGTGGAATAGTCTTTAACCTGCTGGGGTCAGATAACTGGAGTGTCCTGGGGACCAGACGGAGGGCTGTGTTCATGTCTGGTTCTGTAACATCTCTGAGCCATGGCCCAACTATGTGGGTTATGGACTGAGAGAGCCCAAAGATAATGGAGACTGGATTTCCCGCCAGTCAGATGGCAGGAAGGCTCTGGGTGGGTCATAAAATATAAATAGCCCATTTCTTGCCTATTTAAATGTGTGTACCAGTAACCATCTACCCCTGCTTCTTTTTCCTCTGTTTTGTCTCTTTCTGAATCTCTAGTCTCTGTCTCCACCTCCCTCTGCATGTCTTTCTAGGATCCAGCCTGTCCCTCCCACAGGGACCCTCCTGTGTCTCAACATGTGACTAAACCAGTCAGGGTCACTCCAGGAGAACTGGGCTGGCACGAAATAACTACACACAGACAGAGAAATACTTTTTTTCTTTGGGTTCTGTGATGGCTCCTCTGACCCAGCTCCCACAAGGAGGCAAGGCAGGCAAGAAAGAGAGGGAGCACGCCCCGAAACTGGGTTTTATTGGGGGAGGCTGTCCCATGGAACATTCTATCCCCCAAAAGGCAAAGGGGTAGGATTACAAAGAAACAAGGAGGCAGCCCACTCCAGTGGTAATGCCTACTGCCACTCCTGGAGAGGCACCTTTTTATCAGAGTGGAGCAGAGGTAAAGTCCACTTGCACTGCAGGGTGCCATGCCAACCCAGTACCTCTTTACTCAGGACTTAAAGGAGTGTGCATAGCTCCTGTCCAGGGCTCCCCAACGCTCCTCCCCAGGTCCTCTCTGCTTCTCTCTGTGGAGTGCTCTGATTCCAAAGACAATAAGATGCTGCTTCCTCTCCTTCTCTCCTTCCATCTCCCCCTCCCATATCTGAGGTCAGAATACAGCAGTGGCCCCTCACCCACCCCCAAACCAGCGGAGGGGAGGGAACCACAGGGCTGGGGTGGGTTGGATGTGGGGCTGCCTTTCCTTCCGCAGGAGGCCGGAGTATTATTGAGCTGTGCTGGCAGCTCCACTTGGCAGCACTTGGGGACCCTGGGGACGAGCCTAGGAGAGTGGAACATGCTCAAGGTTACTCAGACAGAGGCTGAGCTGGACCAGGCTCTAAGCTTCCAACTTCCCTACTGACCTGAGCCCCTATAGCTACCTCTGGTAACTAACCCCCCTTCCCCATTTGGAAGGGAACCTTACCCAAACCTGGCCAGAGATACTCCATGTTCTCTCTGGTCCTGTCCTATGACCTCTGACCTTCACTGGCTTCCCCTCTCTGTTGTGATTTGGAGAGGCCACATATCAAAGGCTTGGTTCCCAGTTGGCACTATTGGGAAGTGGTGGAAACTTCAAGAGGCGAGGCCAGGTGGGAAGTCTTCAGGTCATTGAGGGCACACCCTTAAAGGGGTTAATGAGACCCCAGTTCCCCGACCCCTTGCTTCCTGGCCCCGAGGCAAGTGGTTTTGCTCCGTGATCTTGCACATGATGTGCCACCTGACACAGGCCCAAAGTAACAAGCCCACTGACATGGACTAGACCTCTAAGTGAGCCTAAGGTCATCTCAGGTATTTGTTAGAGCGGTGGAAACCGAATTCCCTCCATCCTTCATTCCTCTAGACTGGGGGTCCCTGAGATCAGACCTGTTCCCCGCTGTTAGGCAGACTATCCCTGAGGTCTGGATTACACAGGGACAGGAGGGCAAAACTGGGTTTCCATCCCTAAACTGGGGGGCTCCTTGAGGACAAGCTTGGTTCTGCCTACCTCAGTCCAGGTCTCCCTTTAGGTTTCTTCACAAAGCTCTGCCCACGATGAGAAAAGATGGGGCTTTCTTAGGGAAGGTGACACAAGTCAGGACAGAGAGTGAGGCAGCCTGGCAGCAGTTCTGCACACTCCCAGCCCACTCAGGAGTGAGCCCTCTGCTTCCCCACCTTCTCTAGGATTTCAGCAAGAATCTCCCAGGGAGCAGGAAGCAGTGGCACATGCCTATGATCCCAGTGACTCAGGAGGTTGAGGCAGGAGGATCGCAGGTTCAAAGTCAATCTCAGCAAGTTAGCGAGGCTAGTGAGTCTGTCTCAAAATAATTTTTTAAATTTTTTAGTTGTACATAATACGTTTATTTTATTTATTTGTTTTTATGTGGTGCTGAGGATCAAACCCAGGGCCCCGCATGTGCTAGGTAAGTGCTCTACCGCTGAGCCACAACCCCAGCCCTCAAAATAATTTTTTTAATAAATAAATTTTTAAATTTTTTTTAGTTGTAAGTGGACACAATACCTTTATTTTATCTATTTATTTTTATATGGTGCTGAGGATTGAACCCAGTGCCTCACACATCTTACTAAAGCACTCTACCACTGAGCCACAACTCCAGCCCTAAGTGAAAAAAAAAAATTTCAAAAGGGTTAAGGATGGGCTGGGGTTGTGGCTCAGCGGTAGAGCACTTACCTAGCATATGTGAGGCACTGGGTTCAATTCTCAGCACTACACATAAATAAATAAAAATCCAACAACTAAAAAAATATGTTAAAAAAAGGTGTGGGCAGGGACTAGGGATATGGCTCATGGTTAAGCACCCTTGGGTTCAATCCCTGGTACCAAAAAAGAATCTGATAGGATGGAAGAAAGTCCAGGAGGTAAGGAGTCCTCTCTGGTTTGTTACCTCTTCCCTAAGAGCCTCAGTTTGCTCCCCCGTAAAATGGGAAGAATGTTCCCTATGGGTGGCCTTCACAGCCAGGGTTAGGGGCACTGGCCTCTTCCTGCTCCAGCTCCACCATCTTGACTCCCCCATTGGGAGGTGCTCTTGGAATCCTTCCCTCGGCACCCCAAAGAGCCTGGGCAACCTTCTACTGCAGCACTAAGCTGTTGCCTCTCACTGTATTGGCATTTCTGGGTGTGGCCTGGCTTCCCAAGGTCACAGTGGAGTCTTATTCCTCTCCATTAACTACCCAGGCAAGTCACAGAGCAGGGTGCAGTGGGACTTCTCAGGTTCTCTGTCCCCACTCCCACCTCACCGTGCATAACAGGGCCTGTATTTCTGCTGCTACTGGCTTTTCCAAGCCCACTGTCTTCCTCGGGGTCCAAATCAGGAGGTCCTGGGCAGAATGTGCCCCTCCAGCAAACTCTGCCCATGTCTTTTTTCCCCCTAATATATGTATTTTTAGCTATCAATGGACCTTTATTGTATTTATTTATATGCGATGCTGAGTATGAACCCAGGACCTCACACAGGCTAGGCAAGTGCTCTACCACTTGAGCTGCAACCCCAGGCCTCTGCCTGTATTTTTTGCTCTTGCATTTCATCCATCTCCGAGATCACAGCCCCCATGGATGTGTTGAACCTTACACTAGTGGCCTCCAGTGAGACAGGCCTCTAGGTTTCTGTGCCTTTGTGTGGTCCCTTGCCATGGTGGCTCCCATCCTGGCTATTCCTTTGGCCAACAGGACATTCAGAAATCATGAAGCAAGCAGAGGCTCAATAACCATTTGCATGCTGGGGTTTGTCTTCTTTGGAGACACCTGAGGAGCTACAAAGGAGGTCACCCAGACTTCTGAATGGTGAGAGGCTGAGGAGGAAGAGCAGCCCTCTTGAACCAGCCAGGCCCAGCCAAGCTCCCAGTTGAAACAGTCTTATGAGGGATCCCATATGAAACCAGCAGCACTACCCACCAAGCCCCGGGGGAAGCACAGAATTGTTAGAAATAATATATTGTGGTTGGGGCTGGGGTTGTGCCTCGGTGGTAGAGCTCTTGCCTGGCAAGTGTGAAGCGCTGGGTTCAATCCTCAGCACCATATATAAACAAACAAAATAAAATAATGGTATTGTGTCCATCTACAACTAATAATAATAATAATAATAATAATAATAATAATAATAATATATTGTGGTTGTTTTAAGTCACTAAGTTTTGGGGTAGTTTAGTTCTCAGCAACAGGAAACTGAGACAAGAGACATCTGAGTTCTCACTTCAGACCCTGGCCTTCCATGTCCAGTCCTGTGGCATCTGCTTCCAGAATATGTGGTGGATATGACCACTTCCCACCCTGCCCTGGGCACCGTCATTTCTTGCCTTGATGACAGCAACAGTTTCCTCATTGGACTCTCTGATCCCAGCCTCACCCCCCCTCAGTCACCACACAGTATTCAGAGTGCAGCTTTTGAGG